TTCATGAACTCGTTGACTATCCCATCCGCTCCTGCTGCTTTGTGGCACTTCAGCTTGTTCACACACGCCTCAACCTCGTCCTCAGTGAACTCCTTTTCTAGTTCTACGTTCCCAACGTCTGCCTTCGATGTCTCTTCTTCTTTTTGGGCCCATGCGTCCACCTCCTTCTTAAACACTTGGTCAAAAGCTTGATTCTCCGAGGGCACTCCAAGTCTCTTGTAGTGTCCTGCTAGAACTTCCCTTTTTCCCTTCCCACTGCTGACTAATCCACCGTTCACACCTCGCAAAGTTGCTACCCCTGGACCTTCTCGGGGGGGTGGTATTGGGGTACTCGCGCGAGTAGCGTCAAAGAAAATTAATTTTACACTACTGCAGATATGAATCCCCGCGCACCTTTTGACCGTTTTGGACACAACTGGCTTCATGGACAATGCAGGTGACCAATAAAAAGGACAATCCGGAGCAAGAGTTCACGATGCTTGAAAGCTTGTGCGAGCTTGGGAACTCTCCCTCAACCGATGGTGCGGCAGATGGGGGTGTACAAGCTGCGGTGGCCCGAGATGGGGGGGGTCCTTTGTAGGCGGCGAGGGCAACAGATCACGCTGTCTCGCACACGCTTGGCTGTATAGTGTTTTGGACCCCCTTTTCTTTTGCGACTGGGTGACGCGTTCTTGATCCATACGTAGAGAACTGGCGGTCGGTTCTTGGTTGTATCCATGTTGACCATGACGTGCGATTTAGAGGCCCCGAGGTCTGTAGTCACCAGGCGGGAGGGTTGGATTTCTCTGCAAAGCCAGGTGGCATCTGTTTGAAGGAGAAAACGTGTTTCGTGTCCTTTGCACTAGATCGCTCATTGTCGGGTGTGAAGTGCTCAACGCCCAAAGGGATGTTACTCAGAAAATGTGTGAACTCTACTAAGTGACCTACCTGTGTGAGGCACATCGTCCTTGTTTTATTGGTCCAGGGTTTGTTGTTGTTGGATCAAGAGGTCCCAAAATCCAGTTGTGTTCACTTGCGTATCAGGTGTACCCTGGTTTCATTGTGAACGCATGACTCCTGGTCCGCTTGTTTCTTCGAGGACACTGATGAGGTTGGTGGTCCCATGGGTTTAACTTCGCACGTACACCGACGACGTCGTGTTTCGAGTCATCTGGTGGATAAGGCACGTTACAAACACTAAGCTTGTGGCACATGTCCTCCTCTTTGTAAGAGACCCCCCGTTGTGCACCAGGCATGAATAGCGTTGAAGTTGTGGATGTACATTTTTAGGATGCATAGGCTACACGCCCAAGCTGACGGCCGTAAAGTAGAATGCTGCAAGCAAGATCCGGGGGTACAGTAGTACTCGTCTTCATCAGCGTCATGCAAGGCATGTGAGTCGGTCGTCAGGCAGGATCGGCACACGGAGTAGCTCTAAACGAACACCAGCAGGTGTTTCGTCAGGTTAGTGAAAGCACTATATTCCTTCCTATATGAAAACCCCGTGGACAAGAAATAGCTTTGGAGAACGTCGCTTCTGTAGACTTGGCCGCTGTAGTTTCATACCAGGTACACGACGAATGTCAAAACCAGTACAAGCAGAGGTGAAGCGTTCCGCTCCGCGAGGTCCGACAGTGCGACACGCAGCGAGCGGTATTTAGAGGCATCCATATATTTTTATTTTCCGTCTGATCTGCATTGTACTGCGGAGCTTGCACACGAACACCGCGCAACCAAAACATGGCCTTGAAGCAACACATTCGGAGATAAAAGCATGCATGGCATCAACAGGGGCTAACTACTGCTGGGTTGACCCTGATCAAAAAGCCTGTAGACTGATAACGATACTGCAAGCACTACCAGACCACATGTAACAGCAGTGCGTGCTGTGCTGAAAATTAGACGTGATGGAGGAGACCTGTACCTTCCGCCGAAAAAAAAAAAAGTACCGAATCCGTAACGGAAGAAACAAAAACCGGAGGGACGGAGGCAGGCACGCATGCGCACGGGCGACCAACACGTGCGGCAAAGCCGACGGCAAAGCCGAAAGTCCCACGCTGCAGAGGACATGCCGTCATGAAGCATGGAGTACTTCAGTTTCTCTCGTCGTGGGTTGGAGTGGCCGTGGCATTGACGTCCCTCCTTTGGGCAATATGCGGTGCAATCGCGAGCACCGGGCGGGACGGTCAGTAATCCTGCTGTACTCTGTAGCTCTGCATGTCTAAGCGACTAGCGTGACATTGGGTGTGGCATGGTAGGACTATTATATAGACGCTATCACACATATGCACCGCATTTCTCGGATACACTCCGGATGCTTTCGCCCATTTGGATACGCGTGTGCATATCACAAGCAGTATCCTTCATTGCACCGCAGGGAATGCCAGACTAGATCTCAGCTACAGCAGTAAGGGTTGTTGCCCTCGGGAGACGTACCCGGTTATTACCTGTGATAGCACTTCCGTTGTACTGCGTTGTTGTCGCACTGGACTTAGCAGATCTGTCATTGTCTAGACTTCATGCATAGCTGGTTGGATTGTGACACTCGCTGCTGTGAAAGTCTAAACTACGACCACTGCTGTATTAATTCCCCGTTCGGGTGCGTAAGCACATTAGGAAACATAAATACAACCACATAAATGCTTGTATCATATGCATACTGCTTGCTGTACAGGGCTCATGTGGAGCTCCCGGCCTCTAACCGCCTGTCGGCTGGAGGAGTCTGGAGCATGGGTTGACGTCCCGGACACCCAACTTGAGCTTGTTCTGGAAAGCGAAGTAACATCCTTGATATCCTATAGCATTGTCGTTGTTGCGGCGAAGCCCCAGCTTCCTGGTTCGTCTTTTCTTGGAGAACAGCGTAGCAGCGGTGGGAGCAAGGATTTCCTTCAGGTACTGTACGAGGAGCAAGGGTTTGCACCATGTACGGAACTACTTCGACAGCAAGTCTTGATTGCCGCGTGATACCGTCTGAGCTTGAGGAAAAGAGAGCGAAATGCTCTACAAGTACATGGTAGGCACACCGGCAAACGTGGTACGGTGTCTATCGTCAGGAAGTGTTCAACTCTGCAGAATTTCTGACTAATTATGAATATTTACTCCGTATTATTGCGCCTGTGCCTCTGCAGGTGTTTTGAGTGTACTACTAGGTCTTTGGCGTGGTGCTGTTGCAGATTTTTTGCTGTTGATTTGCGAAGAACACGTAGCTACCTTCATGCAATAAATGCATCTTGACGTGGCCCTTTAGCAACTGTTTCGGCCATGGGTGTGTCTTAGGATAATGCACCGTGTACAAGGCAATGTTGGTTCGACGGTTCTTCCCATGCCAACCATGTTCATCGGCCATATGTGGATTCCGGGTCTCAACTCCATACCTTACACCCTGCACTCGTTGACTGGTGCTTCCAGGTGCGTTTGGTTGTTAATGGGCTACCAATGCGGCAATCGGCAGCATTCACATCCCCTGCTGGTCCATACGAGTCGTACGTTGATACGCTTGGCGGCCACCTATCGATGGAGTTTGGGCAAGGGAATCACTCGGTTGGGCTACAATGGAAAAAGTCTTCTGGAGGGATTGTCACCAGTTGGAGCAATCGACCAAGCTCCCACGATGGGTTTGCCAGCGGAAGGTCCATTGTAGTATCGGCTCAAGTGAGTACCTCTTGTCCTCGTCATGCATGGGGGTAGACCTACAGCAGTTCTTGGTGATGTCGCACATCCTTTAGATAAACTCTCGCGTGGTATAGCCATAGGGCAGTTACCAAAAGTTGTTCGTTTAATAAGAGCTCGCTCGCTCAATGTCATCATTTTGCACGAGTAAAACCGATCGGTTCTGCTTCGAGGACTGAACTTATTTTTGACTAACTCTTTGTCGCATGTAGTTAGATGGAGGACACCTGTCACCACATGTCTCGGGCAGCTCAGACCAAACAAGAACCGGGGTCGCCAAGGCATAGCGTGGCGGGTTTGTTGTCATTCTCAGAATGACGACACCAATAAATCGCGTTACATCTCTATCTCAAGTCAAGGATGCTTCTAATTCCAGCCAACGACTCATGCCGAGCACCAATGCTTGTTTCCCTTCGTGCTTTCTGCTGACCAGCACCGCTACATGTGGTACTCAGCGGGGAGCAACGATGATGTGCAAATAGACCAAACGGGGACATGGAACGAAATACCTGGGTTGAGGCTCCAACTCGAGTTACCTGAGCCCGCCAGTATCCGGGTCCTGTACTCAATGTCAGTCATGCCGGATCAAAACTTCGGCAGCGACGGTGAGACCTGGGGAAAACGTAATCACTTGGCCTAACGGAGCCATGCAAACAACGCGATCTCGGTGTAATTAGCTCGGCGCTTCCAGATTTCGTCAGGTTGTTTAGGTTGATCCTAGCTTGAACTTCTATACCATATACCATGGTAGGTTTCACCCAGTGTCTAGTGGCCTCTCAGCCTGAAGATATACCCCCGTTCCTATTGTTTTTTGTTATTCTCAGCAAGTCACCCTGCGGAAGATCTGTCAGCACGTCTGGTAGTGGATGGGATACCATATCGCGAGTCGGTTGGCTCCTGTGCTTTGCTAACCCGGCACGTGAAAAGCGGCATGCTCGAAAGAGATATTGTTCTTAGCCTCCAGGTATGAGCCGCAACAACATTGGTTGTTGCGACATGATCACACGTCGGTATTCTGGTGTGGTGTGGAAACGACCAGTTTTTGTTGTTCAAATCTTCGCACCACTACTTCTGCGTTCAAGCCGGCTCAAAGGAAGGCTTGAGAAATGGAGGGAAGCTTGAAGTGACGTATCCATCTCGCGATGGTTTGTCCAGAGTTCGTTCCATACACCTGCGAAAAACGCCGATAGTGTCGTTTTCGGGGGCGCAACCCCATTTTCACGCAATCCATCTCCCCTGGCTGCGCAGGCTGGCGAGCACAATGTGGTGGTAGAATGGCGCAAGTGGGGCTCGTACATTCGAGCTTGGAGAAACTCGCCCTCCTTCTTGGACGGGTTCGCCATGTCGCGCTTCGTCGTTGCTATGGGAGAGCGCTTCGACGTGGTGTCACAAAATTTTCTCACTCCGGTTGTCCTCAAAGACCCTCTGAACGAATGGCACACGGTAGGAGGAAAGCAGCTCGAGTTCTATCTTCATGGCCCAGCCACAGCGCTCTTCACTTATGGACTGCCTGTCACGCAGGTCAGCAGCATCGAATAAGCCCAAACACAGGAGTGTCTTTTTTTCAGCCTTTTATGCAATGGTGGGACGCACCTTTTTCCGAGCAAGGTACAAATTAGCATTGTCATGGTTTATCAGCGATAAGAGTGGTTTCAGGATGTGTTGGGATAAGGAAAGGTGAGGTGTATGTATATTGTACTACCACCCAATGGCGATCTGAGACCAAGTCTCATTCACGTTATGTCGACTCTGTGCAACTGGCCACATTTCACCTCAACTCTTGTATATCTGACAGTATGGCCATCCAACTTTTGACTCTTGGTCGTGGGAACGCTGGAGCTCTATCCAAGCGCGATTGCTGGTCGATGGGGTGCCGTACAGGTAAGTAAGTACAAGCGCACGATATTTACTGGCACGTGTCTCCAGCGATTGGTTGATCACGTGCCCGTGATGTAGTCATGTATGTCTTACAGATGGCCCCCGTGACGATGAAAAGTGTGTTCATGTCTAGAAAAAAGGCTCATATGTTGTGGGAGATGATAAGATGGTGTGAAGAAAGAGAGTTCAAGGCATTTCAATCTGAGCATCAAAGCAAGAACATCCCAGTTGAGAAACAGGTACCAGGACGCCCCAAGAAAAAATAAAATTGAAGCAACGGGAGTGCGTCCAACAAGAAACTTGCCCATTTCACTGTACCCACCGCGTGTATTTACTTTTTCTGTGGGCGCGGTGTTTTTGCACCCCCCCCCATCCCGCACATGACGTTGTAAAACAAGCCAATTCACTTCGTGAACTCGGCAACCAGGTTACCATTTTTTTTTTTTTTTACCTCTTTTTTTTTTTGCGGTTACCATAATGGTGGTCGAGTAGACCATGTTGTGCGGGGTCGAGAAGCCTCACTCCGCGCAAGGGGGATGATCGCACCAC